TATTAGTGCCATCTTGCAACTATGAGGATAGAATATCTTCAAGGAGGAAAGGACCTAGATCTTTGATATTATTATTGGACCAATGAATTAAACAACCTTAGAGTACCTTCCCTTTATATTTTGTTTATTAAAGATAATAACTTATCTCTTAAGCCACTAAAATTTATTTATGTATGTGGATCCTGGTACTTTCTCTTTTTTCACTTTTCAAATCTGTTGTTCCTGTAGTTATTTCTCCTTTTTCTTTCTACCTTTCCTTTTTTGTATCTTCTCTTTATTTTGATCAATTTTAACAGAGGCCTATCTTGTTAATATTTCCAAAGAATAACATTTTGGCTTTTTTTCCAATTATTTTTGTCATCTATTTCTGCCATTTTAAAAATATTTCCTTCTTATCTTTCTTGGGTTTATTCTACTGCTTTTTTCCTAATTTTTGAGTTAAACTCTTAGCTTAAGTTTTTCCTTTTTATGCTTTTCTTATTTTCTGATAAATATATTTGAATCTACAAATTGTATACTAAGTACTATTTTAGCTGTGCCTTACAAATTTTGACAAATAAAATATTTCATTCGGGGCCGGCTCCATGGCCGAGTGGTTAAGTTCACATGCTCCACTGTGGCGGCCCAGGGTTCGGATCCTGGGCACGGACATGGCAGTGCTCGTCAGGCCACGTTGAGGCGGTGTGCTACAGCCCACAACTAGAAGGACCTGCAACTAAGATATACAACTGTGTACAGGGGGGGTTTGTGGAGATAAAGCAGAAAAAAATAAAATAAAATAAAATAAAATAAAATATTTCATTCATTTCTAAGTACTTTGTAATTTTCCTTAAGATAACTTTTAACTCAAGAGATTTTATATGGCATTAGGGTCCAGACATATATCAGTTTTTGCTATCCTTTAAAAAATTTATTTCCTAATTGCATTGCATTATGACTTTATAACCCAACCTGTCAAGTGCCTCACCACCAGCATGCACACACATACACATCCAGAGCAGTTTATGACACACTTGGTCTCTCCAGAGAGACCTGGAAGAAGGTTGGATTGCACTGTCCAAAGCATCACTATGCTTATAGTAAATGCTCAATAAATATTTATTAAATTAATGATTAAATAAACATAGTATATGTATGTAATTTGAGAGATTGGAGGTTAATTTGAATATATTTGCATGAGATATTACAAGTAATTCTGTTGATTTATAAGCCACAGAAGAAAACCAGTATTGGGGCAGGCCCAGTAGCATAGTGGTTAAGTTTGTGTGCTCCATTTCGGTGGCCCAAGGTTTGCCGGTTCGAACCCCAGGCACAGACCTAGACCCACTTGTCAAACCATGCTGTGGGGGCATCCCACATAAAAGAGAGGAAGACTGGAACACAGGTTAGCTCAAGGCCAATCTTCCTCAAGGAAAAAGAGGAAGATTGGCAACAGACGTTAGCTCAGGGCCAATCTTCCTCAGAAAAAAAAGAAAGAAAACCAATATCATTACTTTAGTCATACCTCATAAAGGTCAGATCCATCTACAAAGTGAATTATTAATTATTGACAGGATGATTATCTAGTCTGACACTAAATTTTTTTCCTCTGCCATTTCCTTTCTGGTATTAACTCTATGGATACTTCTCCTTAGCACTTATGAGACGTTGCTTTTTGGTAACCTATGCTTGCCTGGTGCATAGTTGGAGCTTAATGATTATTTGTAATTATTTATTGAACAAATGAAAAGTAGCCCCAAAGTAAGAGTTGCATTGCTCAGCAGTAAGCCAGCCACTTTAACAGATGTTCATTGCACTCCATCCATATACCCTATGTCATTTCTGTTTGTAAGCATGTTGGCCCTGTCTGCAGCCTGATCTACAGTATCTCATTGCCTGAGGACTTTCTTTGGCCACTGGAGTTCACTTTACCTACACATGAGACATGTCGGAAGTTCCAGGGAACTAATCTCTCCCACCCCAGGAACAGCTCTTAAACAATTATTTGAAAATTTATGGATAAATGTTCCAGCTTTCTTACCCCTTGGGTGGGCTAACTCTGAAGTGTGTATTCTATACAGTGAGGGAGGGTATAGATTGGGAAGTTTTGTGAAGGCAGCACAGGAAGACAAAAAATGTCATCTTATCTAAGTCTTGAAGAAATAAACCAGCTATCTTATGAGTAGCAGTTTTAAACCATGCTAAACTGGTATGCGGATAGCATTCTCCAAACCAAAAACAAACACCTTGACTATAGGAGAAGTAGTAGAGAGAGGAGTTTACATGGATCAGCTCTGGAGCCAGAGAGCCTGACTCTGTCATTTACTAGCTGTGTGACGATGAAGAAGTTACTTAATCTCTCTGAGCCTTACTTTACTTATCTATAAAATATATTTACTTTCTAAGGAAGTTATGACCATTAGATGAATTACTATGTGTAAAGCCCTCAGAACAGTCTGTAGGATATCTGACCACTCAATAAGTTTAACATTATTATTGTTATTATAAAGGCAGTATTTTTATTTTCCTTCTACTCCACTCTGTTTAATAAACTTTTATCTTATTTTAAGGGCTAGAAAAGTACATGGGATAGCAGGTAAGTACCTAGAACCTTTGCAGTGGCTAGAGTAGCCTGGGTCCTCCCTCCAAGATTTGTCAATACAAATACATTTTCTTTGGACTCATTATAGCCTCCTTTGGTAATCTTGGGTACTTTTGTGGCTGCAGTTACCATGTATGTTTTGACAACTTCCCATCCATAATTCTTCCCCTCACTGAACTTCAGACTTGTATATCTAACTGCTTACTAGACATCTCCTGACATCTCATACTTGACAGACACAAAGCTGAACTCATCATCACACTTGCAGCCCTGGTCTTCGTCCCCTCCTATGCGCAATCTCAGTTGTGAGGTGAAGGCCACGGTTGATTCAGTTGACTAATTGACTAGACTGGTACTTATTTCCTCATAAATCCATAACAAATCAGAAAGGATGACTTTACAAAATAGAGAAAAGCCATTCTTCAGTCAAGGATAAATAAAAAGCCATGCTTCCCATCTAGAATATTCAACAAGGCAGTTTAAGTGATTCCCTACTTAAAATTATGATGTCACCATCCTCCTAGCCACCGAAGCAGGGAAGCCGAGGATCATCTTAGAGTTCTTCTCCTACTCACTCTCTCGTTACCCTCAGCCTTGGTTTTATAACAAATCACCTTGTTTTTGTATTTTTAATGTATAAAAATAGAATCTTTCAATACGTGTTGAGTTTTCTTGCCCTATTTTAACTTCCCGGCTTCAGGCGTTCTTCATTTCTCACTTGGAATATTTCAGCTGCTTCCAAGCCAACCTTCCGACCTTTGGCTTTGGCTTAAGGCCTTCCCTCACATGGTTGCCTGATGACCTCTTGGAATTGCAAATCTGATCAAGTTTCTACCCCTGATCAACTGGCTTGAATGGTTCCTCATGACCCAAATATGAGTTAAAGGTCCTATGTGACCCTGCCCTTACCACTCCATCTTCCTTTACAGCCTCTGTTGACTTCACACTTCCTGTTTCAGTAATATGGAACCATTATATGTATTTTCCCTTTCGGGTCATACTGTTTGATGACTTTGTAATTTTGCTTGTGCCTATAATGATCTTCTCTACATAACTCCTACTCATCCTTCTAGGATAATCTCAGGTAGCATCTCTCCAGGAAGTCCTCCCTGACTCATTAAGTCTGAGCTAGGTGAGCATGCCCTGGGCCCCCATGGATCCCTGGGACACACTTCATCCAGTTATTTACTGTTCTGTATTGACAAGACACACTCTCTCCCACCAACTAGGTAGTAAAGGTCTCAAAGTCAGGGCTTTTCTGTCTTGGACCGCTGGCATTATACTTGAGTCATCCACAATAAATGTTTAACAAATGAGGTTAAGGAAAATGTGTACTGTAGATGTTCAAGCAGAGGTAAATAAGAGGTTCTCAACACGGGCTGTATATAGGAAACGTCTAGGCATCTTTTAAAAGTACAGATGCCAGTGACACATCCCACTCCATTTAAATCAGGAGCTCTGGGAGAGGGCCTGGGCATTTAGACATTTAAAACTCAAGTGACAATGTGCAGGTGAGACTGGGAACCAATTGGTAGATGATCACTGGGCAAGGATTTGGTGAATGGTATGCTACAGAAGGATGGAAATGATGCTTCAGGCACCTTTCATTCATGAAATTCTATGAGACAGTTGCTGGAATTAGGCTTATTATTGGTCAATTTTGTCAAGATATTCCCTGCACATTATAAAGGTTGTTTTGTTTTGCATGTAGGTAACATACTTGTCGAGCCAGGATCCAGACTGTGATTCACCCCATTACATTAATGTTCTTCAAAGAGCACCCACCACAAATACACATACATTTATTTAAAATAATGTAAGAAAACAGTAGCAAGGGGAAGAATGAGAGGAATGGATTTTTAGATGCTTTGTACATTCATGTCATGATAATAGGGAACAAAGTCTCAAATCTAAATACTTCCTGGTCCTCTTGCAATGCCACTTTTGTAACATTCAAATCTATTCTTGTCTTCTTGTCTACAGTGATGATGGCGCTGGGCATCGGGATTTGCTTTCTTTTATAATATCTGTGTCTACTGTAACAGAGGCAATGCCACGTCTTGATTTTAGAAGCTTTTATAATTAACAGGACATGGTACAAGTTCTACATGGAATAAGAAAGGCTGGTTTGGGATATTAGTATTGTGGGAGGACTAAGTGACTCTAGTTTATAACTTCCCAATTAAACGTGCTTTCAAGAAAAGGAATAGGTTTCGAAAATCAACATAGAAACAGTGAAAAAGAAAAGGAACTCCTTTTTAAATGATCATCTAAGGGTTAGGAGAAAAATATTGTAGAGCTCTGTAGTCTCGAAAGTTATATTCAAACTCTCAATCTTTTTGATTAAAAAATTTTAATGAGCTGTAAAATAAATACACTTCCATTAAATATTAAATAAATTATTTACAACTTGAAAAAATACTTTTTATCTGCATGCCGCTTTATGTACAGAAATAAGACTTAGCATAAAAAGTGACAATTGAAAGTTTAAAACCATCAGAACAAAAAGGTTCTGTTTTCTTATGATCCACTGAAAAGAGGCACCAGCTCTTCATGGTTGTCACATGACAGTGACTCCGATCTGCCACCCTGTTAGAAAATACAACAAAGTGTCAGAGAGAAACTCAATTCCAACATCGCTTGAAGAAAATGTCAAAGAATAATCAGGAATCAAACTTTGTGTCAATTTTTTTCTAACATGTCTTATGAAAAATGCTAAGAGCTTTCAGAGACAAACTATCACTTTGACTTGAATCTCTCTTTCCTACCGGCTTTGGTTATATGCCAACTCAGGAGAAGAATGCTGATGCTCCAACCCATTTCATCAAATCTGCTTGATAAAGAAGCAACAACAGTCATGAGAAATAGTTTTCCTAACCAAATCTATGCAATGGACATAATTAAAATAAAGATTAAGTGGCTCGGTGCATTTATGATATACAGTTAATTTAGGGTAGTTAGTACCGAGGGCATAATAATAGTAGCTACTGGTTAATAGGCAGCCACTATGTGCCAGCACAGCATATTGCTTTTCCTAAAATCATCCCAGGACCTACTCTGAAAAATCTCAATTCTACTAAATAATCAAAAATCCACCCTTATTCATGTTGGTGGTCTTAGCTTCAGCACATTAAGTCAATACATGAACAAATTTTGATGCAATAAGTATTGAGCATAGCATTGGCATAGATAATTATCATTTCATGAGTTTGGGGCTTACTCTGTCGTAGGCTCAGCACATAAGACCTGCACTTAACCAATGCTAAACGTAGTGGTTCTCCAGGCATCTGAAGTGTCAATTTAAAATAGAAATACTGATTTAGTAGAGTTAGAATTTGGCTTAGGAATATGCATATTTAACAAGCATCTCAAGTAATTCTTGAACCACTGAAGGTAGAAAATCAATGACTTAAGGATGTGACATCTTTCCTGAATGTCCGAGGAAATGGAATTCCTTCTTCTGACCAACTTTGTATGTCCTTGATTTTCCTGCCTTTGGAAGTTTGCTTCCTTAGCTGTTCACTTTAGGTATCAAGGAAACATCACTCTACACACCTTCTTACCTTTTCCTAGAACATGTCAGCTCTCCCTTGTTATAAGATAATTAAAAATAAAAACTACACAATATACTCCTTCCAAGCTCTCTCTCAAATTTGTACCCCTTCTCCCTTCCTAGTTCCTTTCTTTAAAAGGATATTCAACCTGCTATCTCCATTTGCTCACATTTGTAGTTCAAGCATCCTGAATCTGGCTCCCCACCACGTGAGCTCAACCTATCATTTCAACCTTATCTCCCCCAACACCCGTCTGAACGAGGCCATTTTTCACAAGTTTCTAAAATGATCTAGTCCATCTCACAGTATTAATCTTCCTTTCCCTTCATAATTGCTTGTCTCAATCTCATCAGTCCTTTGAGGCTCACTTCCAATGCCAACCTAGATACACATCCTTTCCTGGTCCCTAAATGCATCCCCAATGGATTCTTTCCATCCTTCTTTGGAAAGAATCTCATATTCCACTGGTTCCTTTTTTATAACATGTATTTTGCTTCCCCTCATATTCTGGTTCCTTTCCCTATTTTCTGTCTACTAAACACTAAGTCCTTTGAGAAGAGGAGCTGTATCTCCCGCCTCCTTATAGCCCTTATAATACTGACCAAGGACACAGTCCTTTCTCAATATTGAACTCCACCTCATGCTCAAAGCATAAGACTTTAGTGGAGCCCATATTCATAGTGTATCCATAATGAAGAACACCGATTTCCTCATTTTTCTTGAGATAACAGATATTATATTTTTCAAAATTATAGGATATGATATAAAGATATCTTTTAAAACTCACATCCCACAACTGGAAGGATGTGCAACTAGGATATACAACTGTGTACGGGGGGTGGGGGGGGATTGGGGGAGATAAAGCAGAAAAAAAAACCCTCAAACCTGCAATATTACCTCAGTTATGCTATGGTATGTGCATTTCCATTTTCTTGTCGAAGTTTCTTTCGTTCTTCAGCTTCTCCCTCACAGTGCCTGAAGTATCGTTTTCGAAGCCTTTAGAGAACAAGATATTCCACTGTCATCAAAGTTGTATTCATCTTTATATTGACTGGAGTTTTCACAAGTAAAGGAATTATTTTCGTGAGTTCTTATAGCCCATTACACACTGTACTCTACACCAAACCAAAACTGAAACCCAGACAGAAGATATTACCAATGTTCTTTTGGGGGGATGTTTATAGTGACTTTATACAAACATATCTCCAGCGTTCTGAGATTTAAATAAATGTGCCTTGAGATGCAAACTTTCAGAAAGCACGGAACACCTCCACAAGCATTCTGTTTTGTTTTTCAGAACTTAGCACAGTTGCCATGCACAAGCAGACGAAGAAGTAGATAGTATAGTTTTACCACAGAAGGACTTTATGCTGGTACAAATTAATTTAAAAGATTAGAATTTTTTAAACAGGCTTACAAAACAAGTTGGGTTTTTTTCATTTCTAAATATAATAAATACTTCCTTCCAGTTTTATTTATTGCTAATTTCTATTTTAAAAATCTTCAATGGTTTAAAAACGTCTTGGTGGTGTAGAAGTCATTTTACTTTTAGCAGCTCTTTCATCCATCTACCAAACTTTAATATTAAAATCAGAAAAACTTTAAGTGTGATGGCTGGGAAAAAAATTCACTTATGAAAAAACAGAAGTTGTGGCTTAGGATAGCGCTTGTGTTTCAAATACAAGGAGAATATGGGAGAAAAAAAGAAAAGTCATTGCTTAGTTTAAAGAGTACCAACATGACAATGTTTTTCCACACTTTTCCAAAGGATTATTAAATATTTCAAGTTGAATAATTACAAGTTTAAATAATTATTTCAAAACAGCTTCCCTAACTGGCAATTTTTTTCTTCTGTCCTTCTATGTCAGATAATAATGGTTTGTTTGAGGGTATCGCTCCTGAACACATCTGCATATCTCACTTGAGGTACTAACAGATCAAAACAATTTCTAGGGTGTGCAAAACAAATTTAAAGCACACATCAAACTTTATGTGCATCATAAAACAGTTTTTTATGTGTCATTTTACCATTATCTGATCTGCATCTAAAATAATAGTAAACAATGGCAAAAGATAACCCCTTGTTTCCTGAATGGCAGGAGCAATAGATCATGGTCACGGTCCAGTTGTTAAAGTAATTGACCAAGACCTAAAATTAGAAGAATGAGTCTCTTGCTTTTCCCAAGCTCTAGTAGCACATGAGTCATTACAGAGCCATTCATGTCCTCCCCCAACTTCCTTAATTCACTGACTTCTGTTTGACAGACAATGCCATTTTGACATACCTACCAGTGCCTACAATCTGGAACAGTCTAGCCCTAACATTCATTGGTCATGAAGTGAAGTATGTGATCTGTTATTGTGAGCTCAGGGAAGATACTGAAGGAGTGAAACAGTAATAGAATTGTCCCTGCTTCCTACGCCATGCCATATGGAGGAAACGGTTTTTTTTCTTTATTAATTGGGTTCCCATATTGCATTTGACAATAACAAAACAGGCATAAGCTCTAAGGAAATTGGTACCAAGCTATGAAATTCCTAACTCAGAACTTTACATTCTAATAGGAACAAAAGACATCTTTTCTTGGCTCCTGGTTTGAAGCTGTTTGTGATTTTTAGCAGCAAAGCAGTATCTCTGACAACCTATGATGAACCAGGTCTTAATTAGCTTCTGGAAGGCTTGCTTCAGCTGAAGATATTCATAATAGATACCAACAGTCTGAGATTTGGAAGTGCCATGACATGAAATATGACATGAAACAAAACAATCAAGTTTTAAGTTCCAAAAATTTCTAGATTTTTCTATAAAAGGGCTTAAAATATTAAGTTTCAATGGCGGTCAAAGTCATATAAATTTTGACCATATTCTGTGATCTTTGTCAATGAAGGATAAAGATATAACCAAAGATCAGTTACCACCAATAGAATAATTCATCTAAAAGATGATAGCACAATGTGATAGAAATACTGAGAAAAACTGACCTGGTATTATTTTACTAGGAATTTTTAGGTTACGCATACTTACTGGATTGTAATAACAACAGCAAGAGCTGTGAAGCTCACGGCAGAGACAAAGGCAGCGATGGCCGCTAAAGCAATTTTTGATAAATTACTGTCAACCATGCTGTGAGTCTTCATGGACTTTTCCCCACACCGCTCACCAAAGTAATCCTGATGACACCTGTAAACGACCCACATTCAAAAGTATAATAACTGAAAGCATTCCTTATATTTTAGGTCTACTATTTAGGTCATAAACAGCCATTCAATTCTAACATCAAAAAAAAGGTCATGCCATCCATATATTTGTATTTCAAAATCATGAGACATGGAATGTATTCGAGCCAAAGATCTGTTAGTATAAGAACAAGTTGAGATTAGTTTGGGCATGATATTCCAAGAAGACACGCCTTTTCATTCTTTGTGCTCCTATTATGACCAACTGATGAGTCCAGTGACTTGTTAGGCAGCCAACACATTCCACTATCATTTAATGTGCTATCAGCTTTTTTAGGGGAAAGGAGGATGAAACAACATTATGTGAAAAATATCCTTAAGTCCTTCTTAAAAAAGAGATTTTGTAAAATATATTTTGTACAATGATGGTTTACACCAGGGGTCAGGAAACTATAGCCACACGTCAAATTTGGCCATTTGTCAGGTTTCTTTACCATATGCAAGCCAAGAATGATTTTTACATTTTTACATGGTTACATTTTAATTGGTCTTATAAGTACATAAATAATGTTGACCCAGGAAGCCTAAAATATTTACTATCTGGTCCTTTAAGAAAAAGTTTACAGACCCTTGGTTTATATGTTGGAAAAATAAATGGTTTTCTGCAGCCAGGAGTTTTAGACATGGTGTTAGAAATATAGAATTCTATTTAATTTAGGAAAACTTACTGGCACGTTACTGCTTCCAGGTGCTCTATATATTTGCATTCTCCATGAATGCAGAAATTTTGGAATTCTGCATCACATGGATTTTTCTTCTTTTTGTTTCTTCTATTTTTTCCATTTTTGCCTCCCTTTTTCTTTCTTTTGGGTTTATCTGAAGTCTTTTCACTCTCTGTTTTGTTTTTCTTGGGCTTAACTACCTGCTCAACTAAAAAAAAAAAGAAAAACAAGACTCATTGACAACAGTCTCTCTTCATCTTGAATATCATTTCAGAGACATAAGAGAAAGAAGTCCCAGCAGTGGGAGCTCTTTGGGACAATGGCCATATTTGTCTCATTATTTAACACAATTCATGCACAATAATTGGGCAAACAGAATATCTGTATTGTGTAACACTTTAAAATCTGAACTCCTTTGTTATTTTATTAGCTTAGAAATATATTTTGAATTTACTTGTATCAGTATCCTTATTGATCAAAGGAGTTACCTGCCTAAGAAAATCCACAAAATATTTTAAACATTTCTTGAATTTCTAATACAAACCAAGTTCTTAATAATGAGCCTTAATTTAATTAAACCCAAATCACAGCAGAATGTGTTGTTACTGAGATGATGTCGATGAGGAAACTGAAGCTGAGTGAAGACAAGTAACTTGCCCTAGGACACACAGCTAGAAAGTGGCAGTGCTAGGGGGCACCGTCGCCTCTTATTCCCTCCCTATACTATGTTTTCTCTTGGGAAAGGTCAATGCCATTAAATAAAGTGGGACTTGGGTATTTTTGTTGATTTCATTTACTCATATTGTTTGCGCTGTCTATCATAATTGGGAATTAGCATGTACTACTTGAGGGTGGACAAAACTGAGAATTATACATTAGAGCTGATCAATGTTCTCCAGCTCCCAGATTACAACAGATTATAATTAATCAATACCTTCCAGGGGGCTCGCTTCTGTGGTCAATCTACTTGAACAAACAGGAGTCCAGAGATATTTGTACTTGATGCTTCAGAGATTCATCTGAACTCTTCAGATCCACAGAAACATTTGTTCAGTGTTACAGTTACACGGGGTATAGTTTACCCAAATGCTAAATATAGGAAGGAGTTGTTTCCATGTTAGAGCCGCACATTTTTGTCATACTAATCCCCGAAGAGGTTTAACTGAATAAGCATTTAGCAAACAGAGCCCAGTGAAAAGAGGAAAATGCCATAATGTCTTAATACCAGTAGTCATAATGGTACTGCAGCACCCACTAAATCGAAAACATTAGAAACATAGGGAGGGATATCAAAGATAGAACTCTGTGATTAAGGAAATGACAAATAAATATCGGGAATATTTTAGCAGGTTATTATAATAACATTAATGATAGTCAAAATAGGAACAATGTCTAATAAGTGGTTATGCAACTTTTATATTGAAACTGTCCTCTAATGATAAAAAGGTACCACAAATTAGAGTAAGTCCTCTAACAGAAGCATTGTAAATGACTATTACTGCTCTTGATCAGATATATTACAAACTTTCGACACAGATGAATAGTCACTGTGCTGAAGTGCCACAATAGACATTAACCCCACAGGTTTTACAGCCTCTTAGAGGAATTCAGCCAACCCTATTTCACAAAGCAGTGCAATTTTAAGCACTAGCCATTTTCACCACTAACAATTTATTTGGCCTTTTCAAATGTTAACAACTTGAAACATCTTTAAGAGAAAAGTTTCTAGAATCTTGACAGTCTAATCTTACCCCTCTAAGAATAAGAATTATAAATGGACCCCTTCCCCCACCTTATTTAAAAGCACAAGTTCTGAAGCAAGGGAGTCAAGTGGAGTAAAGCTATTCCCACCTGCCAGCTAACCCAGTCACTGTCCCTGTGGTACCACCTGCACTCCCTTCACCAGTTCTGGGAGCCAGACAGAGGGAGAGGAGTCAGAGAAATGAAGGTCAGGAGAGAAAGGGCTTTATGGCCTGCCTCCATAGTGGATACTCCTAGACTATTTAGCTCTGATTTACTGATGACCTCATCTGTCCTCAGACTCTAAAGTCATATGAGGGTAATGAACAATACTTACCTCTTACTTTGGTACCTTACTTTTAAGCAAACGCTCCTTTTCAAAGATCAGATAACAGCAAAAGAGAAGAAAAACTATGGGTCACTATTATTCACTGATTTTGTGTGTATGTGAGGAAGACTGGCCCTGAGCCAACATCAGTTGCCAACCTTCCTCTTTTTGCTCAAGGAAGATTATTGCTGAGCTAACACCTGTACCAATGTTCCTCTATTTCATGTGGGACGCCACCACAGCATGGCTTGACGACCAGTGTTGGTCCGCGCCTGGGATCTGAACCGGTGAACCTCAGGCCGCAGAAATGGAGTGTGGGAACTTAACCAGGCTGGCCCCTATGGGTCACTATTATTTAAATGACAAATGGAATTTGAGGTTAAATCATAATTTTTACAACATAAAATCCACACATATTTGGCCTTTAATATTCCCAGAAGATTGCATTAGTAGTAGTGGTAGCAGCACCAGTTTCTCAACACCCATTACTTAAGGGCTGAAGTCCAATTGCTCCCTTCCCATTACTTTTGTCTGTTCCCTTATTTGTGTTAAAATGCAAATATTTAGGAAGAATGGTCGTGGGCAGCAGATACAAAAGCTAAGACACAAAGTAGATAGGAAGACTGATGTCTACACCTGTCTTCCATGGGGGTCATGCGGCACAGTGGGAAGAAGCAGAGTATCTGGAATGAAACAGACTGGAGTTCTCATTCTGGCTCAACTGCTTCCCGGCTGTGGAACTTTGGGCAACACACTTAACCTTTTTGAACTTCAGTTATCACATCCGTAAAATGAAAATTCCTACTTTGTAAAGTTGTTGTGAAGTTTAGACTTAACAGACCTAAAACATTTGTTACAGCTCCAGACATATAGGACGTGCCCACATAGAGCTCTGTCCGTCTCAGTTCACAGCCTACCCAGGGGGTATGCAACACACAAGAAAGCCACCAGAAGATGCAGGGAATGGCTTTTCTTTTAAAGCAGCTTTGCTCAAACACACACACATCTTCTAGGCTACATTTTCACGTTTTCCTCTACTCACCTCTGATGGAATCGTCTACAATATAGCCGGATATTTGTGGTTCGTTGTCATACTCTTCTTCATAGTCATAGTCGAGACCCAAGGGCAGTTCGCTACTAGAAGGCATTTCACTCACAGGGGAGATCTCACTTCCTGAGGTCACCTCAAACCCATCAGCACTGTGGTCCCCAGAAAACGGTTCCTCTTTTCCAGAGTAGGTGTCATTGACATCCAATCCAGCAGCATAATGGGCTGTGGGAGGAAGAACAAGGGAAGAAAAGAAAAGGTAAAGCAGAGTGCCTTTCTCATCAGTCAGCTGAGTTCAGGAGAAATATTTACCTTCCTATATCAAAGCAGCTATTGCACATGTGCTATTGTTTCTGATTGAGTCACATATGAAAGCAACTCCACATTTTGCCAACAAGCAAACTCAGCTGTTCCAATTACAGAGCTTCTTTCATCAAGGTTTCCTTTTCCACACATAGTCTACATTAATTTCCACATCAAAAAAAAAAAAAATACTGCCGGGGCTGGCCCCTTGGCCGAGTGGTTAAGTTCGCGCACTCCGCTGCAGGCGGCCCAGTGTTTCGTTGGTTCGAATCCTGGGCGCGGACATGGCACTGCTCATCAGACCACGCTGAGGCAGCGTCCCACATGCCACAACTAGAAGGACCCACAACGAAGAATATACAACTATGTACCGGGGGGCTTTGGGGAGAAAAAAGGAAAAAGATAAAATCTTAAAAAAAAAAATACTGCCAAATAGGCAAATTAATCTAATTATTTAAGAGGAAATGTCTAAATATTCCCATCACTTCACAGACAAATGCATTCTTGTTTGCTAGAATGCTACCCGTCCCATTTCCATAGACAGGTTCTAGATATAAATATCAGATTTCCTTAACACATGCTCACATTTTTAAAAGATTAGAAATATAAAATGTAATATAAATGGTAGTTGATAATAACGATTCTTACTGCCATTGTGTCATTATTATTTTTCTGACATAGAGCAGAAACTGGGGACCAGGTAAGATTTGGGGCCCAGAGATTCAAGGCCCTGTTTTTTCTCTTAGGTTTCACTAAAACAGCCTCAGAGCGGGGCTTCTGACTTCTCCGTGGGACGCTGTGAGGACCCCTAGGAAGGTAAAGGTAAAATCACTAGGCAGAAGAGATGGAGAATTTGGACAGGAGGCTCAGCAGCCCCGGGTCCAGGACTTAACTCCTCTACTCTAGGATCTGCGGAAATCACGTCGCCTCTCTGGCTCTCGGTTTCTTTATCTGTAAAACGAAGGGTTTGGATCACCGCATCTCTAAGGTCTCCTTCAGGGGGACTAAAGTAAAAGTACAGGGGTTCTCGGCCACCCTCTTCCTGACATGGAACGTCTGTGACACCTGCCGCTTTTCTCCTTCTTCCGGTGAGTAACCTTAGGTAGGAAGATACCCCGATCACCTCCCGCGGGACAGAGTTGGGGGTGCCAAAAGGCGGCTTTCGGTTTTTGGTTTTTGGGTGTTTTGGAGAAGCAGCAGTAAAATTCAAGAGGCGCCAGCTTCTGCCTGCCGTGGGAGAAGCGCCGGGCAGCTCAGAGCCGGGACGTCCTCACCTGAGCCGAGGATCAAGAGCGACAGCACCACCGGCGCCGGCGGCAGCAGCGGGGCTCTCATTGGTCCCTCGGCGGCGGCGTCGCGGTCTCTGGGGCAACTCGGCGGGAGCTGCGCGCTGGCGGGGGATGGGAGAGACGGAGACGGGGCTGTGCTGCGGTGCTCGCAGGCCCGGCCGGGCTCGGCTGGGTGGGAGAGACAGAGACGGGGCTGGGCGGCGGTGCTCGCAGGCCCGGCCGGGCTCGGCGCGGGACTCAGCGCCCGGAGCTCGCCCCGGGACCTCTGGGCTCCGACTCGAGCGCAGGCACAAGGTGTGTGAACATCCCGGAGGCGCGGCGCGCACCTGCCGCTTTATAGCTGGGCGGGGGACCGCCACTGCCCGTGACGTCAAGGCCTGCGCGGTGGGTGGGGGCGGGCGGCCGCCCCAGAAGAGGTGCCTACCCCAAAACCACACACGGATGGCGGGCGCTCCACCTCCCTAGGGGACAGAACCGCTGGGAGGAAATGGAAATTAAACCCCTCGCTGCCAGCTGAAAAATCCCTGATCCAGAAGCGAGGGCGGGGGTGCAGTTGGGAAGCTCGTATCTGACGGTGAAAAGTCTCAATTTCTCCAACCATCTGAAAAACCTTCGGTAGATCTTAATATTATAACAGACAGGGATTCATTAGAAAAGTTCCATAGTAAGATGTAAAAGTACTCTAAGACCAAGAGTGACTTAAGAATGACAGCCAGATGTCTTTAACAAAGATAAATGAAGTTTATTATATGACTAGAGAGAGCGCCTCCTAATGAGGAGCTGGTTTATTCATGATGGGCAGTATCTCAACCAAGGGCTCTTTCCCACCCACCGCTGTGAAGTGGCCAGAATTTCAACCCACCTCACTTCCTATTTCTATATGTGGCCCAGGGTCCTCATCAAAATTAATGTTTATTGACCACTTATTATTGCCGAACTAGACGTTGAAAATATTACATACACCATGTCACTCAAAAACCTTGCTGGGGAAGCATCATTTTCTCTATTTTACAAGGAGGACAACTGGCAGCTTTACAAGGCAAGGACTTTACACAGCTGGTCATGGCAGAAGCCAGATGGATTTAAATTAATCTGACTCTAAAGTCTCTGTCCTCTCTGATAAAAGAATTTAGACTAAACTGATCTTTAAAAAGACAGTTTCTGGGGAGAACAAATACTTGCCTCCTAAAGGCATAATCCTTACCGGTAGCATATCGGCATTTGGATGAAAGGTGGTGCCCAAGCCTCTCAAATACCAAGATAAAAGGACCAGCTTCCAGGGCCTGTTTAGAACCTTGTAGAGCATTGAATCATGACAAGGAGTAGATAAAATGAAGGAAGGAAGGAAGGAAGGAGCTGCTTAATTTGACTTAACTTTGATATAGAGACAACTCTAGAACTGGATTTTTCTTAAGAGAAAAAAGCATTGTTCTAAGTGTTTTCTTGTCCTGAGGATACATATCTCTTCCCTGATTGTTCCAGTAAAACAGCCTTTTTAGGAATGTGAGTTAATGCATTTGCTGTAATTCTGGGAAATTTTTTTTAAAGCCGCTAACTTTTTAATGGCATATGGTAGTGAGTTGGCTAAATAATGCCATACATTTAGGAGGATGAAATAAACAGTTGTGAATCATGCCTTCTCTCCTGTTTGACATTTGTTGAGAGTAAACTTTGTGTAACCCACTTGTTTTATTTATTTTGCTGCAGGGGGACAGTAAAGAGGAAGATTAAACGATGACCAGCTCCTCTCTGCTCTCCAGAGCTCATTGTGGTGTGGTCCATTACACAGGAAAGTAATTCTGTTAGATCAGATAATAAGAAGGACTCTGAGTGCCGTGGAAGACAGGATGCTCTGTCATTTTGATTTTGCCTGTGGGTGTCATGGAAAGCTTTGTGGAAAGATGGAGAGGCGACTCAGTGGCGGTCCCAGCAGAAAGTTTAAATGAAAATAATACCTGACGACGAAGTGTTACCGAAAATGGAAAGTAAGACTAGAAAAATGGCACTGCCCTTGCAAGGTGAAGCCGGGTCCTGCATTGTCATCTTTTCTAGTGGATGAGGCAATTGTGATTCAGAAAGATTCAGAGCCTTGCCCACAGATTTCAAAAGATGATGGAGATTTCGTTTAGAGTTCAGGCTGTCAGCCTAAACGTTTGTACCTTTCTGCTCTCGTAGGTTTCAATTTTGTTCTAGTCCTGTTCTTCCCTTTCTCTTACTCTTTCTTCTTACTGAGGTGAGTACAAGTTGTTTATATCTGTTGTCAGAAATGTTTTGCTTTGTTTGAACTGAAAGTGGGCTCTTTACATTGGAAATTGCTTAGTCTCTTTCCCATTAGAAATGTAGAGGGTGGTCATTTGTGTTGGTGTGGAATATAACATAGCGTCATAGGGGCGGAATAGCTAGTGTTTAGTATAAGCTTTAGATTCAACCAATTGGGTTTTCATATACAAATTCTACCAGATACTAAGTTACATAATATTTAAAAGACTCAGATTCCTTATCTGAAAATAAGAATAAAGATACCTACTTGCTGTTAAGCAGATCAAATGAGAAAAGATAGATAAACAAGTAGCACAGATCCTAACATATGGTGAGTACTCAATAAATGGTAACTATTATTATTAACCTTGACATTACAATATTTACATTACAGTAATCACATTGAAGAACTAAGTGACTCTTAAAAATGGAGCTACTCACAGAGCAAGTGAAATAATCTCCTTCAATATTTTCAAGCCATGAACTTTGTACCTACTTCACATTAAGACTAACCATTTTGAACATTTTATGGTGCATCATAGGGCAACATGGGGCGTCATCACCATTGCATCACAATGGCAGCACCCCTTGATGACTCATGGCATTCTGGAATATACGCATGAGAAGGAAACCAACTCTGCGTAACTGTAGGATTCTTTACATGCTAAGCTGAGACAAGGAGGAACAATTTTAAGAAATCTAAGTAAGGAAGCAACTCTTGTTTATCCTGATAACTTGATGGTTTCCTCATCTAGTATGAGGTTAACAGCAACTCTAACGGCAAATGGCCCTAGCCAACCATTCATTTTGGTGTCTAGTATCTGGAGCATGATAAAATTTTATATGTATAGTGGAAGCAAACTCACTTTGAGTCAGCTAAAAGGTGTGCTATAGAACAAAAAGTATAATTCTGTGTTTGTTCGTATAATTGATCTTGAGTTTTTACAGCTAGTGCCAGGGTCTGAGTAAGTATTACACTATGGTCATTTTTATGAGTCAACACACAAACCCCCAAACTAAAATTAAGAAATTCTCTATAAGTAACATTTTCTATATTATTAACAAATGATTAGCTCCATTTAGATGTCTATAATTTTCTACTTTTCGCCTTTGAATGTATTCATGCTAAAGAATATACGATTTCCAGTTCCTTCAAAAAGAGGCCTTAAATGAACTTGCTTATTGGGTGCCTTGGCATACTAGTAAAATAAAATTATTTGCCCTTTATAGCCTTAACATGATGGCTTTTGTAGAACAAGAACTTAGCAGATGGGACTGAAGGCAGTGGATGATTTGCTACAATGGAAACTGAATGTCATATACAGTTAACTACATTTACACAAAAAACTGAATCCTCTAGGTCGTTCATTTACTCAGCCAATATATTTTGAGAACAAGATACTCTTCTAGGCACTGGGAATAGAACTTTGAATAGGTTGTAATGTCCTTGTTTTTAATGACCTTACTTTCTGTTAAGGGGGAACACATAATAAGGAAACAATACACAAAATAATTTTAGGTAGTGAGAAGTGCTAAAAGGGAAATAAAATGTGTGATATGGAAAATTTTGGATGGTGAAGGAAGATGATTAAAAAGAAATACAAGATAGACCCTATGCTTAAGTAGTTCATGGTTTCTTTCTAGAGGAAATGGATGGAAGGATAAAACAGAGAGGGTTATTCTATTGAACAATAACAGCAGTGTGGAAGAGCGGAGATAAGCACGGACAGGAATGAGAGTAGGATAGAGATAAGCATAGACAAAAAGAATGAGAGATGCTGAACAGACAGAGGCATTGAATTGTGCCTCAAAAATGTGGAGGATTTTAGGACATTGTAGAAGAATTCATTCTACTAATCATTTCTCAAACACTTGTCTTAGCACTGCTAGAAAAGAGCTCTCAGCTCTTAACTAAAGGTCAACTGATCAGAATCACCAGAGAACGTTTCCAAAATGTACACTCCAATCTCCCCTCTTGATTCAGGTTTGATGTGGGGTCCAGGCCTGTGTATTTTTTTTAAAGAACTTTCAAGAGTATTCTGATATGTGCCTCTCTCTGATTAAGACCTATTCCACTAGGGGATACGTGAGTGAAAACAATCAAGGTGCATTCAGAGAGATTGTAAACTGGTGGGGCTGTGCTTCATGTAGATGGACGTTTTGTTGGGAATGTGAAGGATGGAGAAATGAATTTCCACAGGAAGCATGTAAATAAGTGTAATGAAGACATTTATTTTACCTCTAAGAAACTCATGTTACAAACTGATTCAAAGACTATCCCTTTAAATAGAAAACTACTTTAGTGTGAGAAAAATATGTCTGAATATATGAAAAAGAAAAAAATCCACTTTGCATGTACTTCTTCCGGAACCAATTTGGCACATAAATGGAATCATATCAACACCAAACTGTTGTGGCTGCTCAGTAACTCCATTCGGAATCTAAGATCAGAAAACAGGATGTCTGCAACCATGATACCATCAACCATCATAGGAAATGTGTCAAATTTTAGTGTGCTATTAATTCTTTATAAGTTTAGGATTTCAGGATAAGACTTGGCATTTTATTATTTCAGAAAAATAATGTATTGAAGTAAGGTGATTGAAGTAGTCAGAATCCTATGAAAGATTTTTGCAGACTATCAATTATAGTCATTAAATAATTATGTCCTTGATATTTTTATTATTTCCAAAAATCACTTTGTATGTACTTAACCTTTCTTTAATGTATTTCTACTTTCCTTATTTTCTTGCATTTTATTTTACAATTTATCACTCCAGTTATCACAACTTCAATATTGCGCGATGACCACTTTTTCATAGTTGCCAAAACCTTGCATTTGCCCTCTTGTTACCTAAAAGTTGACGGCATATGCATATCTCTAAGAATTAAATGATCCTATTATTAATGATCATATCTGATTTGTTTCTATAATGAGTTTAGGCAGTCTCTTAAACATTCATGCACTTTTAGCAAAGCGAGGCTACATTGTACATAGATTTTGTTGTATTTTCCCATGAACATGACGGGCTTTTGTTTCTGAGTTCAATGAGAATAGCAGTTTTTAAATATAGGTGAATAAATTACTAATTTGTTGAGTAGACCACTCCTGTACAGTCTATCCTAGGCAGAGATAGGTTAAATCACAAAGAAACTGGCCTTTGTATGTCATACTTCCCAAAACTTTCTGAATGTGTGTGCTAAAATTACGTGGCCAGAATAAGAAAAAGTATTTATAACTTAATATGGAAAATACAGGCACGTCTAGAACTCATAGAAAAAGAAGAGTTGAAAATATAGTTATAAATTTTATAAACATCGTGTGTCCCTCGGTATTTTTCCTGAAATCAATATTTTTGTCTTATATCTGGATTTATGTACTCCCAAATGATCTTGCTATTTGCAGATGTAATTTCACTCCTAGATTTCTTTCCTTCCATAGGAATTCCAAAAATCATTAGTTTTGGTCTCTTCTCAAGTTAGCAAACATTCCAACAGGATTCTTTAATGTCGAATTGCCAGATAACTTTGTGATTCTCAAGCACTATCTTGTGTGACTATAAAGGAATATTTGGCTTTGCAGCAGTATAACTGGCCGGAACTAATTCTAGTATAATGGTGGGAGAGGGCTACTTACATGATAGGAAAAAATTTTAAAGAATGTTTTAAGGAAATACAAGTTTGGTCAAATGTTCCCATCTGAAAAACAATATTTACTAAAATTCTTACATTTATTGAAATAGAAAAAAATAGAAACTTTGGAAATATGTTTTACCTAAAATTACATCTTTGGGAAAATTCGTGCAGTTTGCACTTTTAAAAGTTATTTTAACTGCCAGATAGCTAAGGATATAATGACTTCTAAAAATTCCATGTTAAATTTTGTTTCTAAATTTGCCTAATTTGGAGATTTGAAGATATGCCTATACTAATTTATAAAATATGCTTCATTTTTTATTTTCCTGACAACAATATTTCAATCTGGACAAAATGATTAGTTACAATTGGATTTTCCTGGGAAAAACTAAAAGTGTATCTTCATTTCTGCATTTATAGATTTTGGGGGCTAATACACACACACACGAGGAAAGAAAAAAGAATAATAGTATAAGAGCAAGTCTACATTTTTAAAGAATCTGTTATTTTAAAGAGTAAGACAAGAAAGTTATATGGTCATATATTTATTAATATTTTTTGAATGTCTGAAACCTGTTATGTAAAAAATTAACAAAACTATGTACAGTATGAAACTTTTAATACTGTATTTACAAACACTTATGTACATATTATATATAAATATGTATTTATAGATATGCATGCATAGAAGCATTCTGAAAAGATATGTTAAAAATGTTAAAAATGTTTATCTTTGGTTGAGGAATTGCTTATCTGTATGTCCTAATATATGAACAAAAATCATGTATTACTTCTCTTTTTTTTAACTTAAAAGCCTCAATCCAGACAAGAGGATGATTTCCCAACAAACTGATTTAACATGATTTCTGTAATCAGTCACATCCGTTTTTCCAAAAGAGGATGTCAGTTGTGAAAGAAAATGATCATGTGAGCCGTCTGCTTTTCCCCACCCTTATTTACCCTTGTACACTTGCTCCCACATCTGTGCTGTCCTTTGCTGTGTGGTATGTCCAGGGAGGAGAGTGAGGTGGTTAAGGCTGTAGCATCTGAGTTTGAGACTCCTGGATTTTAGTACAGCTCTTCCCCTTACCAACCGGGGCCAGTTATGTAAATACATTGTGGCTCTAGTTTTCTTTATTTTTTTAATATTTTTTTTTCTGCTTTATCTCCCCCAAACTCCCCCATACACAGCTGTACATCTTAGTTGCAGGTCCCTCTAGTTGTGGGATGTGGGACGCCGCCTCAACGTGGCCTGATGAGTGGTGCCATGTCCATGCCCAGGATCTGAACCCTGGGCTGCCGCAGCGGAGCGAGCAAACATAACCACTCAGCCACAGAGCCGGCCCCCTCTAGTTTTCTTATGTTTAGAAAGGAGATGATAATAATAACAATACCTAAATCATAGGGCTCTTGTGAGGTTTAATTGCAATAATACATGTGAAACACTTGCAACAGTATCTGACCTTTCATAATCACTAAAATCTCTAATGTATTTTTATTATTATTAATATTGAGACCAGTAAAGAAACTACTAGGAATTCCAGTGAAACAAATTTCCAATGCATTTTGTAGACACAAATAAATATCTCAGCACTGTTATAACTGGTTTCATAACTTGAGAACCTCTGCTTACCATGACAGATAAGCCTGTAAGAATTTAAAATTGTTTTAGAATGATGAGGGCAACAAGAGTGAGCCCTGTTACTAAGGTCCTGTTTCAAATAGCTTGCACTGCTGACTCCAGAGACATGACATTTCCAGAGGGTTACTTGTTTTTAAATATCTAAAGGCTATATATAAGGATCCTCTTCTCAATTTTTCTTTTCTTTTTTTTTTTAAGCTGTGCAATGCAGTAGTTTTCCCCTGGAGGGATGTGCTCCAAGACCCCCAGTGGATGCCTGAAACTGTGGACAGTATTGAACGCTATATATACTATGTCTTTTCCTATACGTTCATACATATGATAAAGTTTAATTTATAAATTAGGCACAGTAAGAAGATTAACAACAATAATAATAAAATAAAACAATTATAACAATATACTGTAATAAAAGTTATGTGATAACAGAGAAGGCTACTAAGAGACTAACGGGCAAGTAGCATTCGTAGCATGGATGCCCTGGTCAAAAGGATGATTCACCGTCCGGGTGGGATGGAGCAGGACAGCGCAAGATTTCATCACACTACTCAGAACGGCGTGCATTTTAAAACTTGTGAATTCCTTCTTTCTGAAATTTTCCATTTAATATTTTCGGACCCAGGTTGATCTTGGGTAAATAAAACTGAGGAAAGGGAAACCAAGGATAAGAGGGGCTGCTGTATTTCCCTACCGTGTGATGTCTTCGCACCAGCATTTCCTACAGAATCAAGCCCTTTCTGTTGTGAATTCGTTTGTTAGTGAAATTTATTGTTCACTGTAAACTAACTCAGTCAACACCAAAGTAAAAGGGAGAGCTATTTTTTCAATACGAATTACCACACCAATAATTTTGTTATAGACTCCACTATATCCAGTCTCATCTCTTTCCTTAGTAACGGAACCCTGATATTGTCTAGACTGATAATATGCCCAGCTAAAATATAACATTTCCCAGGTTTTCTTGAAGATATGGTGGCCACATGCCTAAGTTCTGCCAGTGAGGTTTAGTGAACTGTAAGCGGAAGTGATGTGTAGAATTTCCAGGAAGGCTTCTTGAAGGGAGCTGGTGAAGGTGGGAGCCACACTCCTGTTCTTCTCTCTTTACTCCTTCCCAGTTGCCTGGAATATGGACACTTGGCTGCATCTCCAGGAATCATACTGGACCATGAGTCAACTTGAATCTGGAAGGCTTGTGCTAGAATAGTGGAAGAGAAAGACAAAAAAGAGCCTGAATTCCTGATTTGGAGCTGCTACACCAGCCCTGTACTCTTTACCTTCAGGCTTCTTTTATATCGGGGGAAAACCTTTTATCTTGTTTAAGCCACTATTGTTTTAGGTTTTCTGGTATATGCAGCTGAAGCCAATACTAAATAATTTGGCATCAGACACTCCGCTGTATTCATTATGATATTCCCTTCTATGTCCATGCCCTCCAAAGACCACCAGGAACACAGCTGAACAACTTGCAGCTAGGGAGAATGTCCACCATCGGAAACCGTGGGTCTCTTGTTAAAAGATAGTGTAGAGTAAGCATTAGAAAGGACCTAGAGGATTTGGGCTTGTGTTAGGTGGTTTGAGGAGGGTTGGAGGAGCGACATTTTGCTGTGGATTGAATGCTGTCAGGAAGCGGGCATAATTCAGCGACTGGGTATCTTAATAAGTCTTCTATAGAAGGAGAGAGGCTAAAGCTGTCACTGTTAAAGAATCTGCAGTCACCCATAGAAGTCAGGATAGGAGGATATTTGGTCACTGTTGTGGCTTGGCCAATGTTCATGTCTTGTCTGTGTTCAGACATGATCATGGAATGGTCTTGCTTTTGCTGTAATCCATCATGGCCACAGAGTGGCCTTGTTTGATGTTGACATTCTGTAAAATTGCTTATGTTCAATAGGAGAACATCAAGGCCAAGATGACAGTACCACACCAGCCCCAGGATGTCAGGGACTACTTTTTTCTTTCTCACCTGTCACAATGCTTGGTGCAGGATAAGGGCTCAATTAATTTTGGTGGAATGAATTGAATGAATTAACAAGCGTTTAGTAAACAAATCAAGAACATCCATTTACTATCTCTATTTCACAGTCACCAAGATAATATTTAAATGAACTTACATCATTTTTTAAAATAAATTTTTTTCACATCAGAAAACGTTGTAGTGATTAGGTTAATATGATTACTAAAGCAACGTGAAAGAGATATTTGAAAAGCTACTGAAAATGAGAATTAACTCTACCCAACATGGATAATTTGTAGCACTAGGGGCAGAGATGTATTCTCTTCATCTGTTTTTCACCCTTAATTCCTAGCACATCTTTATATATTGGATTTTCTCAGTAAATAATATTATTTATCATTGTATACAGGTCCTGAGATAAAGAATAGAAATCCATTAAGTGTTTCCTAC